TGGCTTCAAAAACTGCCTGGCAACAGGCTGTGATTGGTTAGGGCATAAACTGCCCCTTGACCAGATCAGCTGCTTTGGCTATATAAGCTGCTGTACCAACTGAAATAAATGAGTCTACAGACTGCTCACCTCTAACACTTTCACCCGGCTCCTGGGGTCTGTGTGGTGACTCCACGACTCTAGCCTCCACCACACTCCTCCTCTCAGAATGAATCCACCTCAATAGGCATTGACTTTACCAGTTGAGCATCCCTCATCCAAAAGTCTAAAATTTGAAATGCTTCAAAACCCCAAATCTTGCGAAATCTGAAACTTTTTGAGTGTCAGTGCCCCCAAAACATTGCATTTCAGATTTCAGATTTTTGAATTAGTGATGCTCAAGGCAAAAATTGGTAACAACAAGAAAAATACTGAGTGCTGTAAGTTATTCCAAGGAAATGACTTCCAGGCTGTGTGTGAGTGTGTGTACGTGTGTGCTTGCACTGTGTTATGCGAGGTGGGGAAAAGGCTGGTGGAGAGAAGATGGCAAGGAAGAAGGAAAGAGATGAGGAAAGAAGAGGAATCTGGGATGTTATGGAAAAGTAATGAAATAGGGGCTGGCGCTATAGTGTAGTGGGCTAAGACTCTGCCTGAGGTGCTGGCATCCCATATAGATGCCGTTTCCTGTTCTGGCTCCTTCAGCTCTCTGCTGTGGGAGACCTGGAAGAAGCTCCTGGCTTTGAATAGGCTTTTGCATCCAGCTGTTGCAGCCATTTGGGAAGTGAACCAGTGGATGGAAGACCTCTCTCTCTCTCTCTCTGTGTGTCTCTCTCCCTCTCTCTGTCTGTAACTCTGTCTCTCAAATCAAAAAATAAAAATCTTTTTTAAAAAGTAGTGAAATAAACTTACTCTGGGTTGAATTGTGTTTTCCCCAAATTGGCATGTTGAAATACTAACCTGCAGTACCTCCCAATGTGGCTGTATTTGAGTATAGGGCCTTCGAAGAGGTCACTAAGATAAAGCGAGGTCAGGCGAGTGGGCCCTAGTCACTGTGAGTGCCTCCTCATAGAAGGGGAGGCTCTGCGTGTGCCAGCAGAAGGAGCGAGGTCTGAAGACGCAGTGAGCAGATGGCAGTTTATGAGCCAGAGGGAGAGGCCTCAGAAGAAACCACCCCTCTTGACCCCTGGGTCTCCAACGTCCAGAAAACACATCTCTGTTGTCTACACCAGCTGGCCCTTGACCCTTTGTGATAGCAGCCTTGCCACACGCAGAGCCTTGGGGAAACACAAGTGGATGGAAGCGAATGGGGCACTTTTGGAAACTCTGAATTGTATTCCGTGGATACTGGGGAGCCATGGCGGGTCTCTCAGTGGGCTGATAAGAGTAGCAGTTGTTGCATTTGTTCGGTTCATTCAGCAAACGTTGATGGGGATCTGACCCACGCCAGGCACTGCCAAGCCCAGCTCAGCAGCTGCAGCAGTGAATGAGACAGCTCAACATCGGCCTCGTCAAAGGCACCCAGGCCCAGAGGGAGAACAGGGGAATGGGTTAGATTGTGTGGGGGTGAGGGGAGTCAGGGCGCAGTTCAAAGCCTTTTATCCTGGCCCAACTCAGTGCTTTTCAATCTTCTTTTGAAAGAAGTTGATATAACCCCCACCCAGGGAAGTGCTGTCCCCAGTGCCCACCTTGCCTTCCTTGGCCCTGTTCACAGTCACAGATAGGAGAGTACCCACTGCGGAGTGGCAGGTTAAACCACAGCTTGCCATCCCTACACCCTGTATTGGAGCACTTGTTCGAGTCCCTGTTGCTCCACTTCTGATCCAGCTCCCTGCTAAGGTGCTGGGAAAAGCAGTGGATGATGGCCCAAGTACTTTGGCCCCTGCCACCCACGTGGGAGACCAGAATGGAGTTCCTCACTCTTGGCCCAATGGCTGGAAGCTTCTCTCTCTCTCTCTCTGTCACTCTGCTTTTGAATTTATAAATGAATCTTTAAAAAAACAAAGAGGTACCACAGCTCCTCTGCTGAGCTCCCCTCACCTAGAACATTTGATCGACCTTGATCTTCTGTGTTTGAGTGTGTGCTCTGAAGGTTCATGTATTGGAAACTTAACCCCCAAATTCTTATATTCATAGTGTTTTGAGGTGGTGCCTTTGGGTAGTGGCCTCATCTCATCCTAATCATTCCCCAAAGGCCCCACCTCCAAACACTGTGTACCTAGGAGGGCATCAGTGGCCTTACAGGGAGGGGAAGAGGTACCTAGGCTAGCACACTATCTGTGTCTTGCCACGCGATGATGCTGTAGGAAGACCCTCACCAGTGCCAGGGCCACACTCTGGACTTCACAGACTTCTGGACCATGAACTCAGTAAACTCCCATTCTTTACAAATTATCCAGTCTTAGGTATTTTGTTCCAGCAACAGAAAAGCAACGAAGACATCTTCCATGGTTTGCATTTTGAGAGCATGATGATTCCACCTAGTGGATTCCTACACCTACCACCACAGAAATTGTTCTTTGGATATCAGATACCATCTGCAAAGGTTGATGATGGGAAAATAAAAGATGGAAAAGCAAAATTCAAAATAAAGGACAATCAAACGAAAACAAAAAAGAAATATGTAGGATATCTATGGTGACAAGTATTTCCCCAGTGTGTTAAGGCTGAATAATGGCCCCCAAAATTGTCCATGTCCTAATCCCTAGAATCTGTGCATACATTTCCTTTACACTGCAGATATGATTAAATTGAGGGCCCTGAAGCAGTAAGATTAGCATGAATCATGCAAGTATTCAAGTGGGCTCAATACAATCACATGGACTCTTTTTCCCCTAGTATTTATTTGTGTATTTGAGAGGCAGAGACCCAGAGACAGATAGAGCTCCCATCTGCAGCTTCACTCCCCAAATGTTTGCAATAGCCTGGGCTAGGATGGGCCAAAGCTGGGAGCCAGGAACTCAATCCAAGTCTCCCAGGTGGGTGGCAAGGACCCAAGTACTTGAGCCATCACCACTCCCTCCCAGGGTACATATCAGCAGGAAGCTAGAACTGGAAGCAGAATTAAGACTCACACTCAGGCACTCTGATCTGAGGTGTGGGTGTTCCAACTGGTGGCTTAATTGCTAGGCCAAATGCTTGGTCTCTCTCTCTTTCTCAAATGCTTTCAAATAAATAAATAAATCTTTTAAAATATTTATTTATTTATTTGAAATTCAGAGTTATACAGAGAGAGTAAGAGAGGCAGAGAGAGAGAAAGAGAGGTCTTTCATCTCCTGATTTACTCCCAATTGGTTGTAACAGCTGGAGCTGCACTTATCTGAATCCAGGAGCCAGGAGCTTCTTTCAGGTCTCCCACGTGGGTGCAGGGGCCCAAGCACTTGGGCCATCTTCCACTGCTTTCCTAGGCCATAGAAGAGAGCTGGCTTGGAAGTGGAGCAACCAGGACTCGAACCAGTACCCATATGGGATGCTGGCACTGCAGGTGGCAGCTTTACCTGCTATGCCACAGCTCCGGCCTCAATAAATAAATCTTAGAAAAGAGAGAGGGATTGGTTCCCAGTTGTAGTCATAGTGAAATGTGATTATTAAGGAGGGGTCAGAGAGATGCCACACGGTTGTCTCTGAAGATGGAGGAAGGGGCCCTGAGCCAAGGTATGTGTGCAGCCTCTATAAGTTGTAAAGGGCAAGGGAACGGATTCTCCCCTGGCATCTCCACAGGAAGAAGGCAGTCCTTTCATAACTTGATTTTGCACCACTGAGACCTTTGAAAATTTCTAGTCTATGAATATGTGTTTTTAAAGTCACTCATGTGGTAATTTATTATAGCAGCAGTAGGAAACAAATGCACTCTGTTTTCTGTAACTCAGAGAAACCAGACCTGTTTACCTGACCTGTGCACCCTTTAGGATTGGGCCTGGCATTGCTTTCCTGTTCACAGCGCCGTTATTCTGTGTGATGGGCTCATTGGTCTTGTTTTTCCTTCTAATTCCTAAACTCCTTAAAGATGGCGTTATTTATCATAGAATCTATAGGTCCTAAGTGTCTGCTAATAACAGTAGATAGAATTAAAAAGGACAGAATGATCCAACATGGGAAGCAGGCCACACAGCAGACTCATAGAATGACAAATGCCCTAAATAGCACTCCAGCCTCAGAATCAGCCCTTAAGGCATTCGGATCTGGCTAAAAAGCACATGAGAGCATTTCAGGCATGGAAAGACAAGACACTGTGGCAAAAAATGGCCTACATGAAAGATCTCTGTGAGTGAGATCCCGATGGAAAGAAGGGGCCATCGAAGAAGGAGGTACCTTTCTCTGAAGGGAGGAGAGAACTTCCACTTTGCATATGGCCCTGTCTAGATACTGATGGAGTTTGTGGACTCAAGAGGCTTCCATAGCCTTGGCAGTTCATGAAAAGAACCTCGGGTGATCACTGACGTCATAAATAAGAGTGTCAGTTGTTAAATCAACAACAGGAGTCACTATGCACTTGCTCCCCATGTAGGACCTCTGTCCTTAATGTGTTGTACTATGAGAATTAACGGTAAAACTAGTCTTCAAACAGTACTTTATACTCTGTGTGTCTGTGTGAGTGCAATCTGTTGAAATCCTTACTTAGTATACAGTTGATCTTCTGTATATAAAGATAATTATAAATGAATCTTAATGAAAAATGGGATGGAAGAGGGAGTAGGAAGTGGGACAGGAGTGGAGGGTTGGGAGGACGGGTATGAGGGGAAGAACCACTATATTTCAAAAGCTGTACCTATAAAATTTATATTTATTAAATAAAAGCTTTTTAAAAAAAGAAAAGAATCTCTAGGTTTGGCATAGTGCCTGCCACATAGAAGATTTCAAGAACCATGAATGAAACCTATCTATGGGGACCCAGGAGCTGCGAAGGGCTTCAGAATGACCTCATAGAATCTACAAAGAGAGGCTTCTTTTAAGACATGAAGAGGTCAATCTGACATCACCACGGATGTATATGTATGTCATTATGCTGAACTGAATCAGTTCAGTGTCACCATGACAACCAGAGCTCCCATTCACATGTGGAGAATGGTGAGTCACTCGGACAAGTATCAGTGAATGCCTGGCCTCCCAAGAAAATATCTGTGGGATGTGACTCCAGGCCCTTGTTCCTGAAGAGCGTTCTTCCACTGGGCCTCTTCCAAATGACTCTCCACGTGTGATTCATTTAACTGGTCACTCCAGCAAAGGCCTGGGACCCAGAAACAAAGCTTTGTTGGCTCGGATGTTCTCCTCAAGAAATTGTGTCTATTTCTGCAAAGAAATGAGCATTGTACGTGTTTCATTATTGGGCACAAAGTATTGAAGTAGCTTTCTAGAAGCACTGATGGTGGGCAATTGGAGTGTCAATAACACAGCTTCCTCCAACGTGCGTCTTTGGGAATTATTGTCAACTGCCTCGAGCAGAAACTCCAGGAGCTGGAGAGCATGGGCTGCAGAGAAAGCCCCCTGTCCAGGATCTGAGCTGTTGATGCTCTCTCCACAGTGAGGCTTCCCACGAGGACACTCTGCAACCTCCTGGCAACGGCCTTATGGTCTCAGGCCAGGGACAGATCCTGCCCCTGGGAGGACGTCTCTCCCTCCTGCAAGGTACCAAAGGGCTTCACCAGAGTACGTGGTCAGAGCTCCATTCACCCCACAGTTGAGCTCCACTCACCCCAGATCCCAGATTTGGGGCTTTGGGAAGCAGCTCTCCCTGGAGCTGACCCAGAGAGTTTATTTCTCCCCTGCTCTCCGTATCCTGTGCCCCTCTCATTGGGGGCAGAGTTTTTCCATCTGCTTCTAGACCCTCTGCTCAACTGTTTCCCCAGACCTAACCCTGACTTCAGGGAGCAGATCCCCAGAGTAGCCACCTGAAAGGGTCCCTTTCAGGACAGCTTATGTTCAGGCAGGTTTCAAGGGATGACAGTGCTCACTGGTGATGCTTCCTTTGTTATAAACTACACAGTGGTAAAAGATTCTGTGTGTGTGTGTGTGTGTGTGTGTGTGCACGCGCATTTTCAATATAGGTCTCCATTCCCTTCTGCTTTCCTTCCAGTTACTTCCCAAGGCCTTGGGGCAGGACACAATCTTAGCATGTGATGGTCCTGGGCTGAGAAGAGCAGTTCTTTCTCCCTCTTCAGATCAAAATAGTCACCGGGCAGGGATTTGGGTGATGCTGATGGGTCCCAGGGCAGTTGCAGATACAGGTTCATCCAGTCTGAAGCAGTAAACAGGAAGTGGATGGTAGGCTATGAGAGCTGAGCAGTTGACACAGTTTTTTTTCTTCTTGGTTCATGGTGTTTTGTTTTGTTTTGTTTTGCTCCAGGTCTCTGATACGGGCACGTTTAAATCAAGAACTATTTAATAAGCAACCAAGACATTTTATTTGTTATAACTTAGCTCAACCAGGAAAAAAAATGGAAATGGATGAACTAACAACTGAAACCTTTAGAGTGAACCTTATCCGATTACCAACCTGGGATTTTGTCACTGGGAGAGATGTGCTTGGACAAGAGCAGGAGTCTAGAAGATTCTGAAGCTGGAAGAACCTGGTGAGGCTCCCTCCTGGGTAAGGGGCTCTGGTGGTGAGCAGCCTTATTCTTCTCCCAAGAAAGGGCAGGCCCCCAGCTAACACAGTTTTGCCATTGGGAGGCAAGCCAACTGCTATTAATGAGTAAGCAGAAAGCCCTCATTCAGTCTACATGAAAAAAAAGAGTGGGATTTAGAAGAACTCTGACATTAATACTGTATCCAAGAGGCAACAACTCTGGAGAAAACTTAGAAGCGACGGGTGAGGAGGGAAGACTGGCTCTCAGATCTTTCATCAAGATGGAATATAGGTAAAGGAGTGATGGAAGGCCTAGGAGGGGGAAATCAGAAGAGCTGAGCAGAAAAGAATGTGTGTCAGAGGTTAGAAAATGATGACTTGGGAGGAATACGGGGCCTTGGGAAGGAGAGAAGCAATCGAAAACCTCTCTGGGGAATCACAAGCCTTTGGAGCAAGAGGTGCAACTGTGTGTAGGATGGAGCTCTAAAGAGGGTGCCTAATGTGCACACCAACGACCAATCAACAATAGTTTGCTGCTGTAAACCTGTATCTATCCATGGAGAGGGTGATTGGACTTTAATAGCAGTCTGTCTGTGTGGACCTCGTTGTTCAAGGAATCTTTAGTTGAAAGGCATTTTCCAACCAAGTGGTCACTATGACATATATGTCAGCATCTGTCAACTGCTAACCTCTGTGGTTTTAGAGAAGAGCACAGATAAGTACCCAAGCTGTTCCTTTGATCACACTGGAGTGGATATCCTGTAGCTGTCTTTCAAGTGACTCATGGCCAAGTCAATCATCCAGTACTAGGCAGAAACCATCAGGTCGAAGTCTCATCAAAGGGAGATCCAAGGTGGTGAGCCAGAAGTCACCACCAAAGCCACAGGAAAACCCTGGCACACAGGAAGTGTTGGATGTAGTGTGGGAATACAGAACGTACATGGAAAATTAAGATAAAACACAGAACTGCAAATAAATGTATGCTTTTAGTTGATTGTCATTGGCTGTACCTCCAGAATCCCAAATCCCAATAGTAGCTCTCTGAGAAAAAGTTTAAAATACTCTGCCTTATGAAAATATAAGGATGTCACGCCTAGCCTAATATCCTATAGTCTCATTTTCCTCACTTCTTTCTTCATGGGAAAATCAAATATCATGTGTTATCATAGACACTGAGAAAAAGGTACAATGTCTAAATAAATACATGAGAACTAATCCAAAATATAAGAGAAAGAGTTTATGGAAAGATGGAATTAAAGGATAAAATTATGAACTTTATTTCTCAACATGAGCTCTATCAAGTTCAAAGCACTTTTGTAAGCAATGATATCAGTATTCAATCCATCCCTAGAGAACAGGAGGTCCTGGGAATTTAACCATATGTATGAAGTCTTTTTAAATGTTATTAATTGGAGAAAAATGGGTGCTCTTTTTAATAAGTCTGAAGAAACCAAATAAAGACTGGAGAGTGGATGCCTACTGATTTCCTTTTGAAAGTCTCATCAATTTGCCTTTACTTGATGAGAGAAATGAGCAGGGACATTGGCATGGTGGAGAAGGATTCTTTTGGAAAGCTTTCCCAGATACCTTTCTACTGAAGTTTTGGCTGACTTCTGGAAAGCACTCTCATAATCAGAAGATATTATTTATCTTCTGTCTCTGCTGAGAGTCAACAGGTAAAATGCCTTGGGCATCCTGAACACTGTTGCCATGGCCTTTACTCTTGACCGGTCTGCTCTGGCTTTGACTGGACCACTTCCACCTCTCGGTAGCCATTGCTTTGATTGTGCTTTGTCTTCGGGATCAACTGGCAAAGCTTCATTCCATCTCCTGTTACAAGTTTTGGAAGAAATGCTTCTGAATCTCAATCCCACTTGTTTAAAGTTTCCATGGAAAGCTCTGCTCTTCTCTGCAACTGACCTGGACATGACAATTTTGGCACCCATCAAGCAGGTAGTTATACTGTTTTATTTTGCAGTTAGAACTGTGTCAGCAGAACCAACTGAGATGTCTTTGATGTTACTTATTTTTTTTTTTTTACTGCTAATCATCAGTTCTTTACAGTTAGGTTAAAACTAGATTAATTTTTTTTCTCTCAGAAGCTGATAGCTATGGTTTGCTGCTTTGGAGCAGCCAGGAATTGAACCTGCATCCAAATGTGGGAAGCTGGCACTGCAGGCAGAGGCTTAACCTACAGCACAAGCCCCCTCAGTCTTTCTTCAAACAAGCTCACCATTTGCAAACAGTTGGTTTCTTTGGGGGGCTTTGTCTTCAAAACATTTTGCAAAACATCGAGTATTTCACCATTATTCCACCTAATTATCAGCATAAATTTGGTGGTGTTCCTGCTTCATTTCGAACAGAATTCTTTCTTGTGGCCCTGATAAGGTTCTTTTCAAACTGATGTTTCATCCTTCTTAGGGGCTCAGATTAAATACATGCTAACCAGTTAGTAGGAGTTATTTTGGTGCAAATTTTTTTTTTTGAAATTTGTGCCTAGTTTTGTCATCAGGTGCATTTTCATGAACTTTGGTAAGACCCTTTGAATGGAGAAGATAAGAGCACACTGCTTTTCACATTATGAAACTACAACAATGACCATAGGTAACAAACTAGAAAGGGTTGTTCAACCGGGGACCTGGTTCCTGACAGAAGGTACTTTTGGGTAGCTCAATGTCTGCAGGGTCAAACATTAAGGCTGTTTGCTAAATATCTTTTCAGATGTCTTCAGCTTCTTTCTTACTTCTTGGATCCACTGGGAGCCCAGGGGTCTGAGCCTGGCTCACGCCCATGTTAGAGGATCTCCCAAAGCTTTGCAGGCTGGCATGGCAGCTCCTGAGACACCATGACATAACACGACCTGCTCACATATGACCTACTGCTTCCTCCAGCCCAGTTAAACCCCCACCATTTAGGACAACTCCCTTTCCTAGCCTTAGATTGTTTATTTATTTATTTTTACGAAAATGTGAAACCAAGTGGGTTATTTGCCAATTATCAGCTGATTTTTTTTTTTCACTACTGAACACTGAGTCTTCTCCCTGTGATCTCTTCCTCCTGCCACAAGCCCTGGACCATCACTGCCTCTCAGGATCCAGAACTCCTTCTCCAAGACCACGTTTAACTCTACTATGAAACCTTTCCCCATCCTCCCTCTCTGGTGGGTCCCTTGCCCTTTGCAGCTCTGTGACAGCAATCATACCCCGCTACGGACTTTGAACCCTGCTATTTTGCCTGTTAGATCTCAACTTGTTGGCCTTGGGCAAGCAATCTAAGCACCTAAACTTCGATGCCCTTATTTACAACATGGGGCTAGCAGCCATGTATTCTTCATAGGGATTGTTATCAGAATTAAGTGAACTTATGCAAGTGTACAGTTTGACACATAATGAGTGTTAGTTGCCACTGGTAACAATAATATAAAATAAATAGCCTCTCACTTACTAAATCCTCTTATGATCTCCTTCCAGCTTCTGAGACATCTCCCAGCTTCCTTCTTTGTATTTAGCTCCTCCCCATGTGTCAAGATCATCTGTCAAAATACTGACGTGTGAGCCCCACCCTCCAGAAATGCTCCCTCAGTGGGTGGGGCCCCGGCATGCCTCATCTCTGTTCCCGACGCGCCTCTCATGCAGAGCCGGGCTGGAGAAGCCTGGCGTGCCACTGCCATTTGCCATTTCTGTCACACAGCCTCTTTCAGCCCTTCATTTCCAGAGCAAAGCACTATAATTTGGAGGGCGCCAACGCCAGGACATCCCACTGTTAATGCCCAGAGGTGAACATTTCCCCTTGTTTCTAAATCCCCCATGGCCGTTCCCGCCCAGCTCCCGTGGGTGACTATTTTTAATACCTCTTGGGTTTCCTTTTTATTTCTGTCCCAGTAAAGGGCTTGTTTGGGATAACTCACTGCACACAACGCTACGTAATAAAAACACAAGGCAGAGGTGAGTAGTGGGGGGTGATGAATACATAACCCGTCCCCACCCCAACTCTCCAGTCCCCGTTTCTCTTCTCTAGCTCATTACTTGATCCCAGTGGCCATGAGTGGGCAGGGGCAAGGAGAGGGCACCCTGGGGGACGGTCTGCTTGCCTGTGCCAGACAGTAGACACACCGACAACTGGGCTCTTAGAATAACAAGCAGAGAGTAATTGCTGATAGAGAGATGTCGATTCCCATTTCTTGCCCTCTAGCCTTTTAAAAACTTTTGTTCAAAGTTATATGTATAAAGCTCATAGTTCTTACTGGGCATTGAATTTCAACGGGAAGTGAGCCAAGGTAAGGACCGGAGAATCGGCCAACCTGGGAATGCTTCATCAGCCCCTGGACTGCTGACTCAATCCTCTCTTTGAACTGCGGGAATTGTGTAACTTTAGTGTGAGTTGAGCCCTGGGGTTCTATTGCCAAGATGGGGGGGTGGGGGCGGCGGGGAAGGCTGATTAAATTTGAGACATGGCAGATAATGGCCAAAGGTAGGGGGAAATGTGACCTCCCAGGGGAGGGAATGAGACGGGGAGACAGGATGTGTTTCAGAACTGTGGGCATTGCAAGAATGGAAGTCCTCATGGTGTGATGACTGCTGGAAGAAGCAGATGTCCCCTGCTGCCTTAGTCTCCCTCTTTCCTTGCTCCTCTGGATTCTTCTAGTTCAAGATGGTCTCCGGTGGTGGTGGTTTTTCTAATAGACCAGGCCAGCTGACTGAAAACCCACAGGAAAGGCTCATGCAATGTCAAGGTGACTCTGAGGACTGGCTCACCCACGGACTCTGGCTAAGGTCGAGGACATGGCACACCCACTCCCAAGAGGACTCAGCCTCACATCAGACTTGGAGCTGTTCCACCCTCACTCCCGTCTCCCATACACAAATGTTCTGAACCTACTCCAGATGCATTCAAGCTATTTTTGTTGGACAGGACTTTGGATGTAATTTTTGCAGATCTGGAAATTAATGCTTAGAGGTTAAGTGACCCGATCACCTGTACCTGTGACAGAGATAGGACCAGCTCCTGTGCCTCCCACCAGCCTTGCATTTGTTGATTTCCATCCCTGAGCTAGAGAACAACAGGCCAGCAGCAGGATGACCTATGGAGCTGCATAAGGCTACGGTTCCTGTCCCCCAATCCTTCAATTTGGGGGACACTTGAAAATTCTGCCTCGGCACTAAATACACAAACAAAACAGAAGAGCAAGTGGAGACTGCACGAACCAGCCAGCGAGGACATTCGTAATGCATGAAGTCACTAGCTTTCAGTGCAAACCACCTTCGGAAGACAGGTTCTTAGCTGATTGCCACAAATGAGGCTCTGCAAGGCTCCTAGTTGCAGCAGAGAAAATGTGAAAAATCTAGCAAACATTCTGCAGCTTTACTCAGCTCGTCCAATGCAAATATTTGCTTTGCATCAGGAAATGGCTCCCAGCACCGGCACCAGTCTCACTAAGTACATGATTACGGGGCCACGTGGTCAGCTGAGTGCCCAGAGTGATTGGAGGTTCTCTTGTCTTAGCCACCCCTCTGAGCAACACCTTTTGACAACAACAGCACCTGAGTCACAGCCAGTTTAGATTCCTTCCAGGCTTGGAAGCTGCCCCTCCTATTTATGCCTTCTGTCTTTGGGAGACCAGGATGCTCCAGAGCCCCCTGCTGGGGAGCCTACCTTGGCCCTATCCAGCTGGGTGTACCTGTCTGGACTGGTTACCCAACAGGGACTCAGACTTTCTGATCCTTATTTTACAAGAGGCTTTGTCTGCTTAAAATTCCAATGCCTGGTGATGCCCTGTCTTTCCTGTCTCTCCTGCCCCTTCCTCTCAACAGGGGAAGGAAATCCATTTGGGAGCACATGGGGTGGATTAGGGCAACCTTCCCCCACACCCTGGATGCCACTGGGAAGACGGAATAGCTGGTGGGAGGCAGCTGACACTCCCGTGAGCTTCACGCCCTCCCTTCTGAGCACATGGGCCCCCGTAGCCACAGGCTGCTCACCACACACGCATGCACGCAGCAGGCAGCTGAGACAGTGGGAGAGCGTTTGCCAGCTGCATCATCAACTGGAATGCAAACAAGCAGAGCCGGGGAGCCAGCTTGCGCTTGCGCCCACAGCTGCTCAATCACGTGCCGCCTCCAGGGTCACCAGAGCACTCTGGGCAAGGGAGGGCAGTGCTCTGCCAAGCAGGGCTCCCTGGTCCTCTCTCCTCTATGATGGCGCCTCCTGTCTGGGTGTGGCAGCAGGGGGCCGGTGCTGGGGACAAGCCCTAGAGAGTGTGGCTGTGGTACTTGAAGGACAAGTTGGGGGGAAAGGGGGAGGGAGAGCGAGAAAGAGAAAAGACTGAGTTTCTTTGGCTTACAAAGCCCCAGCACCGGAAGTTAGAGGATCTGATCTGTGCCCTGGAAGCTGCTGTTGCACCTGCCACTTTCCCTAGTCCCCCAGCTCATGCCTGCAGTGCCCACTGCCAGAGAAAAGCCTCCCACTCCACCACTGAAACTAATACTTCAGTGTCCGCACCTGCAAATCCATCTAAAGCCAGAAGACACTGATTTTAAATCCTTTACCAAGATTGATAGGAAAAGAGAATTATGCGGGAGCCAGACATAAACTGTGACTAGGAGTTTGCCCATGGTTTATTCTTCTTTGACTAAAACCCCCTGCCCATTCCACCATAGTAGGAAGACTACTCCCTCTCCTCTCTAGATTCCCTGTCTTTCTTACCAGGGCCACGAGGCTTTCTCAGAACCCGACCTGCAAGTTGTCTGTTAACCCAGCTTTCCAGCAGGGACTCCCTAATATTGTCCAAATACCAAGGAATTTTACAGCGTCACGTGATCTGCGAGCTGGTGGAGACCCAGAACCCGAGTCCAATACCCTCCTTGGGCAGACAAGGAAGCCAGGGCTCAGGGACCAAGCCCCGGTTTCGCAACTCCTCCTTTGGTTCTCTTGGTGACTAACAACCAAACTGTGCCTCCTCCTTCTGGTCGAACGCAGGCTTCTGGCTTCCAGTGCAGGAAGAGCCAAAACCCTTCTATCGGAGCTTTCTGTGCAATGGAAACCCCGCTCGGCTAATTAGGAGCCACTTCTCCGTGGCTCCCCAATCACTGGTGTAAATTGGACTTATGCAAGCATTTTACCCCCTAATGAGGGCGAGCTACACTCCTGCAGATGAGTTGCACACTGGTGTCCACAGCCTGGTCTTAGCAAAGGTCCACCTCCCTCACTCTCCCAGGAGCAGGCTCTGGGAGCAGAGGGTAAAACCCAGACCTATTTCCTTCCTGCAAACTCGCTGATGGTAGGGCAGGCATCTTGGTGTGAGGGTTTGTTTGCTGGTTCTTTTTCTTTCTTTCCTTTTTTTTTTTTTTTTTTTTGGCTTCAGTTCCTTGTATGGGGGCAGGGATGTGGGCTCTGTTTTAGGAAGTGTGGATTTCACTGGCCAATGATTTTGGAGAAAGAGATCAGAGGGAAAGCAACATATATACACACACATGAACACATATAGATACATCAAGAACATACTCACATGCTAATGCACACACATTCATGCACAAACACACACAATCACCTAAACACACAATACATACACGCATATGCTAAAGCACACACTCACACATCACACATACACAATACACATGCAGTCACATAAACATACAACACATACACTCACATGCTGATGCTCACACACTATCACACCACACACACAAACACACAACACACACACTAGCGCGTACATACTCTCACACCACATACACACACATACAGATACACACATACTATACACAAACACACACAGCAAGCACAACACACACACACATACACACACATACACACACACACACGCCTGTGGTTGCCATAGCCCCTGGTGTCTGTTCCTGTTGGCTGGCTCAGCAGAAAATGTGGCTGAGTTGCACGGCTTGGGAAGGTGAGCATTGTGAAGATCAAGTACACTGTCAAGTTCAGGAAAACAGCAGCAAGGAGAAGCAAGAGGGGGGAGGGAAAGATTTTTTTTCTCTCCTAATAACAACTTTCAGAAGTGGAGCAGAATTTCACCTATTGACCTTGACGACATTGCTCTACCCGGCTCTTTCTCAACACTCAGGGCCTCAAATGAGCCTGATGCCAGCCATGCGGCACGCCCTGTGCCGGCAGCTGTGATGCAACCTTCTGCTGACAGCACACGTTCAGCACCCACCACGGCTGACTGGGTCTGACCGGGCGGATGGTAGAAATCTCCAACCTGAAAGTCATCTTGATACTGGGAATGTTTGGAAAAGCCCTAACTTAGGGCACGCTCACAGCTTCTTACAGTAACTGCTTCCTTCAAATGATATGTAATCATAGAGGACAGCTTTGGATGGCAGGAGGAATTCAGGAGGAATCCGCATTCCTTAGATCTGCAAGAAGGATGAAGTCAGGGGAAAGCCAGCTTCAAAGGTGTCAATAGCTCCTTAGATTTCAGTGCAGTTTAACTGAAAAAATAAATTGTAGCCGAAGAGATCTTTGCTTGGGGAAGTGGCTTGTGAAATTAATGCCATGTTGACCAATTTAAATAGAATGACCTAGAATTAATCCACAAGCTACAGAAACACAGACGGAAATTGGATTGCATGATTTTGACATAAGGAAACAAATTTTGGGAGAAAAATCATTCAGTTTTGTTGTAAAATTTGAGCTGTATAAGTAATGAAAGATTTAGGGAATGATGGTACTTAACAACAACAACAAAGTTCTGTGATCTAGAATCCAGATTTTACAAGCCTTCAGGGTTGTTTTAAACTGTGCTTTTTCTCTTTTCTTTCTTCTTTTTTTTTTAAGATTTATTTTATTTGTTTTAAAGACAGAGTTACAGAGAGAGGTAGAGCCAAAGAGAGAAAAAGGTCTTCTATCCGCTGGTTCACTCCTCAAATGACCACAACAGCTGGAGCTGGGCTGATCCAAAGCCAGGAGCCAGGAGCTTCTTCTGGTCTCCTACATGGGTGCAGGGGCCCTAGGACTTGGGCCATCCTCCACTGCTTTTCCAGGCTGTTAGCAGAGAGCTGGATCAGAAGTAGAGCAGCTGGGACTCAAACTTGCACCCATATGGGATGCTGGCACTGCAGGCTAGGGGTTTAACCTACTGCACCACAGTGCAGGCCCAAACTATGCTTTTTTTTAAAAAAAAATTTATTTTAAAGGCAAAATGAGAGAGAGAGAGAGAGAGAGAGAGAGAGAGAGAATCTTCCATCCTCTGATTCACTCTCTAGATGCCAGCAATAGCAGGGGCAAGGCCAAGCCAAACCCAGGAGCCAGGAACTCCATCCAGGTCTCCCATGTGATTGGCAGAGGAGAAATACATGGCCAATCACCTGCTGCCTCCCATGCAGTTTGGCAGGAAGCTGGAGAGGAAGCAGAAGTAGGACTTGATCTTAAGCGACAGCTCAACACACTACACCAAAACACTCACCCCTCAAAAACAATTCTAAAAAGAATACGAAATCCTGTGAACTTCTTGCAAGATGCCATGGTGTCCTTGTAGAAAAGAGAGAAGGGGTTGTTACAGCAGCCCACCACTCATGTGATGGAGTAG